AGTTACTCACGGCCGGCTGTAAGTGCTCAACTTTTGACTAGCTCAGCTTGAAGTATTACTGGAGTATGGGGGTGATTGAAGAACGTGCACATGTTTACCGTTCGTTTTGCATTAAATTAATTTTTTTTCTGGCTGCCGCCAGGCCTAACACTTTGGACACAAAAAACAGAAAAATTACCCCCCTTCCCAAAAAAAAAAACTTTCAGCTCCTTTGGCAGCCAGCAAAACCACCAGGAAAACCACAAACGTGACTCCGTTCGGACGGCAGAGACGTTGAGTCAGACAATTGCATAATCTTGGCCAGCCAATTGCCAATTGCCAATTGGAATTGCACTTGCAATGCAGCAACGACAACAACGAAAACGACGACGCCAATGTCCATGTCCTGAACATCGGAACACACAGCGCGCCACACTGGGCTTGGCCACAGAGTGGTGGAGTGTTGGTGCGGTGCGCTGATGCAGAGGTGGGTGGCTGGCAGTAGGTGCTGAGAGATGCTCGATGATGTCTTGCCACCTTTCACGACTGCTGACTGTTGACTGCTGTCTGCTGGCTTCTTAGCTGGCGATGACTGCAAATCGATGCCATTTGCATGGCAATGATTTGAATTTGTTGGCTTTGACTCTTGGCGTGGCTTGTAAAGCATTTGGCACTTTGCTGCCGTCATTATTGTTGTTGTTCTTGATATACCCTCTAACTATGTGGCTGAGTCGATTTCAGTTAGAACTCTCCTCAAGCTTAACCAGCTTTTTGTATTTTGGCTAGCTTGTAATTAAGTTAAACAGAAAAACTCAGAAAATGTAGCAATAATATGTGTTTTACTTATCACAAGTAGACTTACCAGTTGCAGACTAGGCAGACTAGAACTGGAGATGGTTTTACATTCTGAGATATGTGGAATATATTTAGCTACACAATAATTGTAAATTGATTTTTTTATTTATTAAGGCATTCATTAAAATATGCTAATTTTTTCACTTAACTATTTTATTTTGTTTTCGAATCAATTTTATTTACCATAAAATACAAATTGTATCTATCTTTGATAAAGTTAACAAAATTTCAACTATTTAAGTGTTGAATTCAAAATAGAGCATTAGCTAGTCGAGCTGAATGACATTTATGGTTGTGGTCTTATTGATTTGTGCATTCATTTGATTGTGCGCGGGCATTTGTTGCCAAATTGTTTGGAAAATGTGCAGCGCCAAATGTCGTGGCTGTTGATTTTGATAGGAAGTCAAGAGACACAGTCAGGGTCGGGTGAAGGCAGACGAGAGAGTCGAGAGTTTAGAGTCCAGAGACAGAGGCAGTGACACAGTCGGAGATAGAGGCAGATGCGCAGCCAGTAGGTGAGACGGTGCCTGAGTGCTGAGATGAGCTGATGATGATGATGATGATTATGTTGCTGTTTCAGCAACTAACCCTGACCCAGCTCAGCTCCCAAACCCCAATTCGCTGTTTTGGGCTTTTCTTGAGAATTTCGCTCCGGGTCATTTTCATTTTAATGTAATTTCTTTTAAATTTATTGTTAATGGAAATTTATGCCTGGCTGCAGTTGCTGCATGTATGTGTATGTGTAGAACTGAGCATGTTCATGCATGCTGCACGTTTTCTTGATTTGTCATGTTACAGGTTAAATGCTAATGGCACCTTTTTTGATTCCGATTCTAAGAAGTCTGCCCCAGTCAAGAGGCATTTGATGATCTGTTGCCCGGCTGTGTCTGCCACAAATTGGCTCTTGTTATACACATAACAAGTCCCAAAAACAAAGAAAATACAAAAACCACTCCAACAAACCTTTTAAGTTGTGGTCATGTGATCGCAATAAGCTGTAAGAGATGTGGGTTAAGTCTTTTGCAGATATTGTACTCGTACATGCATTCACTGAAATGCTTTAAGGTTTGCGATTTGCCACGATTCCCACACGCCAAACCGAGGTCGTAAAAATGGTGTCAAATAAATCGTAATCAGCGGCATTTGATATAGTCCGTCTATGATGCGTGGCCCATCCTACTGTTGCCATTGGGTTGTAAAAATTCAATAAAAATGTTTTTCTGCTGGCAATTAATGTTGCGCGCTCCATGTATAAAATCAAAAGACTGAGGTGACAAACTTGCGTGGCTAGCAGACATTGACAACAAGCTGACAAAATGCACTATGGACAAAAATAAGAAATTTTCAGATACACATTTTAAATTGTACACCAATTTTTGTTCAATATTGTTGAAAAACATTTTTACAAAATAAAAAGGAATTTACCTCTGCCCATGCTCAACTTTTTATAGCCTTGATTAGATGAAACTTGGTATACATCAGTCGTTTTGCTGAAGGCTGTAAATAGGTCGGAGATAAGCGAATCAAACTACTATATCATATAGCTGACATAGGAACATTCGGTCGAAAGATAAGTTTTAAGTGACGTGTAAGTCAATGCCTTCTATCAGGTGCATTCAAAAATGCATCTAAGAAACCACTTCATGCCAGAAAAAATATACTTTTTACCTATGGTGCGGCGCTAGACCGCAAGGGCTGGACGCATTTCGATTCAATTATTGTCACGAGGTGGAGGAGCCGAGGAACAGCAGGCAAGAAGGCAACAGATAGACAACATATCCTGCTGTGCTGCAAAATGGTTTGCTAGAAATACGACAATGTGCATCTGTTGTTGTTGTTATTGTTGCAGCTCCATGGCTCTATTAAGTGGTCAACACGGCTGCACGTGGGCGTGTCGGCTTCTTTGCTCTGAGAATTCCGTTTCAGTTCTAGTTCCATTATTATGTCCATTTTGTGGTTCAAATCAATGGGGGATTGTCGTGTCTGCGCTTAATTTGGAACGTCATCAGGCACTTAATCGTCTGGCGTATCGGTGATGCTTTTATTTGTTTTTTATTTCTCGGTGCCGCGGAAGTACTTAGTTTGGCAGGCGGCTCTCCCCCTACCCTTCACATCTCCTAATTATCTTAGGCGCCGATTGCATTACGCCCACCTTGACGAAGGTGCTTGAATTACCTGTGGCAAGTGAAAATGTAGCAGAGTGAAGATGTTGAAATATAAGCAGCTGCCGCTTCTTAATTGACATGCCATTTCTATTTCCTAGTTTTATTGTTTCTGTTGCTGTTCTCATTGTCGAGTTTCACTCTCTTGTACGTGAGCTAATTAAAACCAAATTTAATCACATTTTCTCTCCTATTATTGAGCTTAATAGTGCTGCAATTGTTGCCACAATAATTTCCAGATGGACAAATTAAGTTTAGTACACTATAAATGCTGTGAATATAAAGTTTTGTATTGTCATTACAAATGCACATTACAAACAGCAATTGTGGCATGTATGTATAATTTCAATATATATTTTTATTTTTGTGCTTTAAGTACCAAGCAAATGGCACACTGAACACCTTAACCTGCCTTCTATACAAGCCAAGATTAAATCTTAATTACAGCAAGTCTAATTTAGTTCGACAACCGATTTAACTCAACTAATTTTACTTATGAACGAGTATTCACTCATATTCTATTTATTGATTATAGTTAGATCGTAAAATTTACATGCTAAGAGTATGAAATGATTAAAGTACTGGCTACCAATTTAAAATCCACTTAACATGATTTAAAAATAGCACTAAAAGAAGTTCTTTCAAGTATTCTACAATTTATCATGCAGTTTTCTGACTCTATTTTCATCCCAACCCAGACTCAGTCTTTTCATTACGCCGACTTATAAAGAATTGTGAAGTTAGTTTTTGGGTTGTTTTTTTTATTGTTTTGTTGTTTGCTCTGTCCGCTCTTTGTTCTGCTTTGTGATTGAATTCCTTACTACACACAACTCACATTTAATTGGCGTCATTTCTGTTGAAATTGATGGGCAATGTTGCTTGAATTAACGCGATATTAAGTACTTAAGAAAATTATTCAAATTACTTGGAAATGCGGTGCTGATCAGTCCCAAAATGACTGCTATTTAATGGCCAACAACATTTAAGCTGATAATTTTGCGCACTCTCGCAAGCCCACACTTGTTCGGGCCTAATACGATTTTGATTACTGTTCTGCTGATGCATTCAAGTTGCTGCAGATGCATCCAGCATCCAGTATCAGCATCAGAATTATGCCAACGAGAATAACTAACACTCCAGCCCAAACTAAACCAAAGCACTGTGTGAGTGTGTCTCGAAAGCGACTCACAAACTGACGAACTGACAGCCTGACCGGATTCAGCTTCGGCTTTGGCTTCAGTTTTGGCTTTGCCTGGACTTGAACTTACTCTCTGGGCTAATGCCAGGTTTTTGCTTTTTTTCGTCTACTGCCTGACCAGAGCCAGCGGCGAGCACAATGCACACATACATCAGTACTTAAAAGTAGAGATTGACTCGACTGTCAGATGCCCTGTAGATCTTGTTTTGAGACACCAATAAGCTTTAATGTTTACCCTGAAAATAAATAATTTTTCTGTACGTAAAGCTTAATTGCAATTTTTAATAAAGTTGAGGGATTTTTTTATTGTTTGGTATTGGGAACCATTTCTTTTTGTGTGGATTTACTTGACATTGTCAAGCTCGATATACGTTGTTGCAATTTTGCTGCTGGGTATCAAAAGTCGCCCTGCAGCTTTAATAAGAGTGGCAATAAAAACGAAAGACTTAGGCAACGAACGCGTTCCACTTCCATAGTAATTATGCGGCAATTGTTTAGTGTTGCGCCGATCGTTCAGCTTTGAGCGTTTAGCTCTCTCCGTCTGTAGCCTGCTGAGCTCGTCAATGTCCATTGGACATTGGAGGCGTTGCTGGTTGTGGTTTGGTTTGGTTTGGCCCGTTTACACCACGGTGACGACATGCTAGCCCACTTTCAGTGGAAAATAACGATGTACATTTTTATATATTATATATATTTATATATATATTTATTTATTTATATATATATATTTACATATAGTTTATTTAATAACTTGAACTGCAGCAATTTAATATCCATTTTTGTAATGAACTTCATAATTTTTGCAGGCGCACACAAGGTGCACTGCTCCGAGGATCAGATGCGCGTAGACATTGGCCTGCCGGTGGAGGCTAGTGGCGACGCTGTCACTGCCGGTGATCGTCCGCAGATCTACTTGGAGGGTCTGAAGGGTTATCCGGATGTGCGCTGTCAGCCCGAAATCAATGGGGCTCTCGCCGTCTTTCGTCTATCGCTTAGCGATTTTTACGAGTGCGGCGTGACGCGAATGGTCAACCAGCTAACGGTAGGTGACCCTCCCCACATAGAGTACATAGTGTATAGTATTAAACCCAAATACCCCCGCGTCTGTCACCGCAGGGCAAAAAGGTGTATTACCATAAAGTCATCATCGAATCGGCCAGCAGCAAGGAGATTGTCAGCGTCAAATGCATTACGACGAGCGGTCCGGTTTATAATGTCATGATGAATGGCACAAATGCTGAACGCGAGCAGACGCGCGTCGTTCTCCAGGAGCAGCAGCAGCAACAACAACATCATGGCCTCGTCAGACGCGATGTGTTGCCGGCGGGCTTCCAGGAACCTGAGTAAGTTTTCGCCGCTTTTAATTGCCCCATCAAAATGCAACGTCCTCAAATTGCATCTATGCATATTTTTTATGCGCAATCTATGCAAACTTTATGGCATATTAAATGCCCACCACTGCCCAGTCGCAGTTGCCTCACAATCCTCCGTTGCTAGCCTGCTTTGTGGCCATAAATCAAACAGATGCTCGGGCCAGCCATTACCAGTCGGTAATTAGCCGTCAAATAGATACCCCTACAGTCAATTTAATTGCGGGGCGTATCGCCAGCCAGCCAGTCATATGATGATATAGGGCGCATTACAATGTTTGTTTTTTATTTATTTATTTTTTAATACTCTAATCTAGGCAATGGGATAAGGCTACGTTTGTTTTATGCAATCCATTTGACTATTTGAAGCTTGAAATCGTGCAGGCAAAGAGATACGATTAACTGCCACGCCCAGTGGGCGGATATAATATACATATTTCTCACAGTTAAAATCGTCAAAGTCTATATATTTGCACAGTTCCACCTCTTTACAACTTAATAAAATTGTACAGACAGGCCCACCCATATCTATATCGCTTACATCTTAAGCGATAAAGTGTTTCAGATTTGGGAGGTATAGAGTAGATTTGAGTTAATCTAATCATAAAATACGATATTTCCTTGCAGTCTTAAAGATCTTGCCTTAACAGTAAGTACTGTTATAGATTCACTAACCTTTCAATCAAGAACGCTCTTCTACATCTTGGTTTAGAGTATTTTGCAGTCACTTAAACCCATCTTCTTCCTTCTTACATTGTTTATTATATGGCAAGCATTTAATGGGTGTTCTCGCTCTTTTCAACCGTCAGAGATCTGGAGATAACCACCTCGTTGACAAAACGGGCACCGGAGCCCCGTCTGTCAATTGGCGTTAGCCAGGATGGCCAGAAGTTTACCAGAGACTTAACCGTCAAGTCGGTAGGTTATGATGCCCTCAATGCTTAATTTACAATTGGTTTTCATTATTATTATTATTGTGAATTGATCTAATTGACTCGTGATTTCTTGCAGGGCACACCGCTGACCATGGAAATCAACTTGGATGAGGACTCGGCGCCGGTATATGGGTTGGGCGTCAATTACTTGGATGTTACAGACACGCACACCTCCTCCGAGACTCTAATCTTCAAGGGGTGCGTGCATTCGTCATGACCAATTATTTACCAACCAGTTGGATTTTTAATAAATATGTTCCTTAACGATGTGTTTCCCCATTTGCAGCTGCACTGTAGATCCGTATCTGTTTGAGAACTTCAACACCATCGATGGCGATATACTGAGCGCCAAATTCAAGGCCTTCAAGTTTCCCGACTCCTCTTATGTCCAGTTCCGCGCCACAGTCAATGTCTGTCTGGACAAATGCCTCGGCACACAGTGCTCCAACAATCAGGTCGGATATGGCAGACGTAAGCGTGAGATTAGCGCCGCGAATAAGGTCTATGAAATATCGCTAGCCATGTTCCTGCAAGTGAACGACATTGAAGGCGTCAACAAGAGTAAGTTTTTTCCAGTGCAACATATCTCTTGCAGATTCACAGCAAAAAATCAATAATTAATGATAAGTAAAAGCATGTTTTCATATGTATTTAAATATTAATTGATGCATTTTTTTAGATGAGGTGCTGCAGCTTGAGGAGAAGCTGCGCGAACTGAAGCTAGCGAATCAGCGTCTGGCGCGCAACAGTCGCGGCAATTTTGCGGAGCTGAGCCGCAGCATGGAGCAAACGCCCGCCAGCAGCGTTGTACCCGCCTTTGTGGTGGATGAACGGGAGCTGGGACAACTGAGCTCGGGTGCAATCAACCTGGTCCTCGGCAGCCTCTGGGCCGTGTTAATTAGTGCGCTATGTTGGCGCCTAATGTAAATAGTCGGAACGAATTGGCAATTGTAAATCTAAAACGGAAGGCGGGCAGGATGTTAATCAAGTTGGAGCTGCGTGTGTGTATGGCAATAAAAAAAGAAAATAACAAGAACAACAAAAAAATATGTACTACCTACTACTAATACTTATACTTATGTAACTGCCATTTATAAAACGTAATTACATTTAATTTTAATGCGAGTAGTTTTCAGCTGCAGATAGCTGCCCACAATGCCAGCTCTAATGACAAGGAACAAAACCACAACAACAACAAACACAGTGATTCTTATAAACATTTCGATAACATGATAAATTGGTCTTATGTATAAGCACCTACTAGTCTTCTAAGTTTAACTACTAAGCTAATTTAATTAATGACTAAAACTAAATGAATTAATAAAATTAAAACAATCCAATTGAACTGATTTTATGTGAACTCAACTAAATAACAAGAAAAACAACTTTAAATATCGCGCGCAATTTGGAGGGTTGCACGGTAAAAAAGTATGACCAGATTAGTTGAAATAATAAATTACCACATAGTTGAACAATTTTAACGTGTGCTTAACAGTACCATTTTGAGTTAACATAACAGCTTAGTGTTGAAATGGACAGCTGACTATAAATATGTGACCAGCCAACGAACTTTCAGCAAATACCACAAATTAAACACACAAACAAAAGCAGTTTTACGATTAAGAGAAACAAGCAACGTGTTCTTTTTATTATTTGCTGTACACATTTGAGAAAAATATTGCCAAGCTGGCACAACGCCTCCCACTTTGACGGACAAGCGCTGGTGCGTAACGCTCGATCCATTGATGATGAATGTACCGGGCAAGCAGAAACAACACTAGCGCTTCCTCCCCCACTCCTTTTACCCCTTGATGCTAATGCGGTGCGACAGCAATAAAAACATCGCAAAACTGAGCCGCTGCACGGGCTGTTCTTGTTCTTGTTGTTGTTGTTTTTATTGTTGTCACGAACAGCAAATAGATCAACAACAACGAAAACAAAGCTTTCACTCCCACCGATTAAAACAGCTCGCAATACATGAGCGCACCTGGCGCTTCAACAATCACAAACAACCATCAATTTTCACTCGGACGACGAGGGGCTATCAAGCAGATGCCTCACTAGAACCAGCTACCAGCTGGAGAGATAGAGAGTGAGTCAGTGATTACGTGCACGTTAAATAATAAGCCGCAAATCCGTTGCCCAACCACCCACCTAATAATAATAGAAGTAGACATCACCGGAAGGCAAAATGCGTTCACGCAAAGTGCAATTTCTGGTGATCAGCTTCCTTGTCATGTGGTCCTTCATCACCTACTATATACTGCTGCGGAATAGTAATGCCAACGATATGACAATGCAACAGCAGCAGCAAGTGAAGCGCCTGTTGCCGGAAGCTTTGAGGGAGGATACGAAAAGCTTGAAGCTGACACGCACTCTCGTTGAGTTTCTGAAATTTAAATATGCGGGTGATCAGGATCAACAGACGACAACAACGCCCAAGATAAGCATCGTTGCCGCTGAGATCTCAAACGAGCTGCCCGAGCAGGCGCTGGACAAAGTGATGCCTGCAACGCTAAAAACAACACCTGCGCAAATACCAAATAAAACATATCTGGCAAATGGTGAGCCCGTCATACCTATTCTGGTCTTTGCCTGCAATCGTGTCTCGGTCGAGAAGTGCCTGGACAATCTCGTTGAATATCGTCCCAGCATAGAACAGTTCCCCATCATTGTCTCACAGGTGAGAGAGTGTTGTGTAAATTTAAACTGCAATATAACGATAATATTTGCTTTCATATTACAGGATTGCGGCGATGAGCGGACAAAGCAGGTCATTCAGTCGTTTGGCAGCCAAGTGACGCTGATCGAACAACCCGATTTGACCGATATCTTTGTGCTGCCCAAGGAGAAGAAGTTCAAGGGATATTACAAAATAGCCCGACATTATGGATGGGCGTTGAACACCACGTTTCAGATTGGTTTCGATTTCGTTGTTATTGTTGAGGATGATTTGAATGTGGCGCCCGATTTCTTTGAGTACTTTCTGGGCACGCACAAGTTGCTCAAGCAGGACTCGAGTCTGTGGTGCGTTTCAGCTTGGAATGACAATGGCAAGGCGAACGTTGTGGACACATCCACCCCAGAGCTGCTCTACCGCACCGATTTCTTTCCCGGCCTCGGCTGGATGCTGACCAAGGAATTGTGGGCTGAGCTCTCCATCAAGTGGCCCAAGTCGTAAGTTATAAAATGAATTCAATTGAAATTCAATTATGATATACATATTTTTGTTTTTTTTTTCCAGTTTCTGGGATGATTGGATACGGCATCCGGAGCAACGAAAGGATCGTGTTTGCATTAGACCAGAAATATCAAGAACGCGTACTTTTGGAAAAATTGGCGTGTCCAAGTAAGCCCTTAAAGCCACATTCTAACAAACAACAATTTACTTAATCTACTTTTTTCATTTATAGCGGTTTGTTTTTCGATAAGTATTTAAAACACATCAAGCTTAGCGAGGACTTTGTGCAATTCAGTAAAATCAATACAAGCTATTTATTAAAAGTTCGTATCGCTTTTCCCTAATCAACTATGGATCAAGTGGTTAATTATGACTTCTTTCAGGAAAACTACGATAAGACGTTTTTGAAGCAAATTTATGTGCTTCCGCTGGTCACCTTTGAGGAGCTGCGTCGCAATCTTATCGCTATTGAGGGACCAGTACGCATTCAGTACAACACTCGTGACCAGTACAAGCGCATTACTCGAATGCTTGGCCTCATGGATGATTTCAAAGTAAGCACTCTTTGAGAATATCTAATATGATGTCAATTTTGCTAATAATACTATTTATCTTATCTAATCGACAGAGTGGTGTGCCACGCACCGCTTACCACGGCATTGTGTCATTCTATTACAATAAGCGACGTGTACATTTAGCACCCAGTGCTAATTGGAAGGGCTACGACCTTTCATGGAGCTAACATCGCTAGAACTAGTTACTAAATTCAGCTCAACGCAACGTGGAACAGAATCAAAATGTTTGGTTTTTTACTGATTGCAATACCAAAAAGTAGAACTAGAAGTTTATTTTATTTGTTCATTACGCCTAGTTTAGTTTTAATTGTACAATTGAGACTTTCGCATTCATTACTTTTCCAATATGAGTACTGCATGTGAAAAGAGTATCTAGTTACTACAACTATTGAATTTAATTTGTAATATTTGTGCAACGAAGCCGCTCCAATTGTATGATATAGTCAAAGCCCGATCCCCCTCAGCCAATTGAACTTCGTAACTAAAGCAATAGCAACGACAACAAAAAATCCAAAAAAAAAAAACAAGATTAAAGTATTAGATAATATGTATGTATATAGTCACAGAGTAGTATAAATATGTGCATTCTGGGATCGTTAAGTTTTTAAGTGTCCCAGAACGCATATATTTATTTAAACGGCGTCGCCGAAGCTCAAAATCATGGCGGCAATCGCTGAAAAAAGCTGGCTTTCGTCGGCCTAGGACCTCATCATCTGTCCGCTCATGACAAAAAAAAGGATCTTCCGCACAGTTTGGGGTGCATGGTAAATAAATATGTGTGTTCTGCGACAACTAAAAAATTAACATACGCAGAATGCCCATATTTATACTACTTCAGAGCTGTCGGCGGCGACTCTGTTGCTGTAAGATTTTCTGTTGAATGCTAATTACTAATAATACGCGTTAATGTACTGTACAAAATGAGGTTTAGTTGTTAAGTTGAATGAACTCCAACATCAAGATCTAGCTGGAAAGTCTGCAACGGGCATTAAGAAATTAAGTCATTGTGATTTTGATTTATCTAATTGTAAACTCTTGTAATTTGTAAACAGAATTCTGTAATTTGAGAGAGCCAATAACCGACCCACAACATGTAAAATAGCATAGCCATAGTTAACTCTTAAGCATTTTGGAAGACAGGCACACACTTCTTGTCAGCCAACAACAACCCCACCCCCACCCCAGTGACAGCGCTAACACACACCCAATCACACCAAATCCCATATGCAATAGGAATGTGTGCCACAGTCGGAATAGTGATAGCTAACTAACCTAACAGACAAACAAACACATACACATGACACCTGTATGACTATATATGTAATTTATATGAACATATTTTTTGTGTGTGGCATATATAAATATAAATATATATAAACATAAACTAACTAAACATAGCTAACTATTTAAATCTACTGCTCAACAGCATCCTCATCCTCGTCCAGTTGCTCGCAATCAATGTCGCTGCACTCGGACTCGGATTGTGTGGCTCGGCGATTGCGTTGTGCATGCGCGAGTCCTTCGTGCCCATAGCCAGCAGAGGATGTGCTGCTGTTAATGTTGCTCACAGCTGGTTGGCCTTTGTGCAACAGAAAATTGGCATTGGCATCGCCAAATACGCGCTCCAACTCGGCCAGTCCATTGCTGGCATCCGCCTCCGTTTCCGGTGGCAGCGTCGCGTATTTCAGCTGCAAATAGGCTTCACTGTGTGCATCTGGCGCCGCATAATTCACAAAGCTGCTGGCATAGGGCTTGCAGCGAGGCACGATGGTGCCAACTGCACCCGGTGGCGGTGGTGGGGCTGGTGATGGCTTGGCCAAGCCAAAGGGCAGCGTATAGTTAAGCGGCTGTCCCCGCGACAGTATTGCATTCCTGGCACTCTCGATCACACTCGAGCCATGCAGCGGTGGCATACCGGGCGCATTCACAGGCGCTGCTCCATATGGGCGCATGGGCGCTGCGGCACCGCTACCGTTCAACATGATGGACTGAATGGGCGTAGGTCCAGCGGGAGTTTGGCTAAATAGCCAGAGACGATCGCCAACGACCATGGGACGTGCAAGACCGCCCATACCCAGTTGGGAGTAGTAGTGGGAGGCAAGTGTTTCCACATCCGAGGTGTACTTGCGCTTCCACTTGGTGCGCCGGTTCTGGAACCAGATCTTTATCTAAACGAGCAGAGTTTGAATACCAGCTAAAGATTCACTTTTTCACTCCTTACCTGCGTTTCGGTTAACTGAAGCTGCTTGGCCAGCGCTGTGCGTTTGGCCACCGATAAATATTTGCCACGCTCGAATTCCGTTTCCAGTGCTTTGATCTGAGCAGCGGAGAAGGCGGTTCGTGGACGCTTCTTGCGATCCTCGTGCGCTGCAATGAGAGGAATTCCGATTGGTATGTGTTTCAGTGCTAGACATTAATTGCTATCGACGGCAACAGTGCCAAACTATTTGTAGCTAATTCGAATTTGCCAATTGCCAATCTACTAATTAGCAGAAAGGTCGCAGTTGTCGCGCCGGCAAGCACCCTGTATGCACAAACACTTGCGTATGTTTATACGGCCAATTTGAATTGTCATCAGTACGTCTTGATATGGTCAATGCATCTTGGCAATACATTCACCTAACTGACCGTAAACAAATTGTCATATAAATTAGCTGAGACATTTATTCGGGAAATGAGTTAATCTACCGTTTGTCAGTCGGTTTGCTTTTGACATTTGCATCATTAGCGGGCGGCGCATTTTTGACGCCCCACAAACTAATTTCTGATTATGTATTTGTTTGAGGATCGCGCACATGACAGACGTGATCACTCAACCAATGCATATTAGTGGAAGATGCTTTTTTATGAGTGCGTAAGCCATTAATCATTTATTTTGTCCTAAAACTAACTATTGTGACTAAACTATATTTGTAGATCTTCCATGTGAATAATTGGAAAATGTAAGTGTACGGCTTTTAAATGAGGTGCACAGCATTCATAGTCATTAAATTAAAATAAAAAATAATATAATTAAAAAATATATATATAAAAAATATATAATATAATTGTATTATATATGCAATCGCAATACTGATATTCTAAATTTAACCACAATATACTATCAGAATAATATTGTATTTACACAATTGAAACAATAAAAATCTACAACTAATATTGAGAACTAAACTACAATTGATTCCAACCTTATAGGTTTAGCATTAGCTGATTTACAGGAGTTCAAATGTTTGTAAGGCATTTAGTTTTTTAGGGACTTTAAAATAATTCATCTACAATATCTGCTTTACAGTAAAACGATTTAGTAGATTTAATTTCAGTACTACTCATATCCTAAACAGTATTACTTATATCTGCACAAAAAATATTATTTATGTCGTAATCAGTTTATCGGATATATTTATAAGCCAAGAATCTAGCATTTAAAAAAAGTCAACTATTATTTTCAACGACTAAGAAGATCCATATACCCATATTTTATTTACATTTTATTAAATAGATCTAACATCTATGTCAGATAGTCAGTTATATTAAAAAAAATCAACATCTTGTGTAAAATATATAATCAATTCGAAAGTCACAGAAAACCTCAACTCGATAAAGATTCTGGTATTCGCTTATGATTTAGGTTTGACGTAAGAAGTATAGGCTTGGAAGGAAGCTTAATAGATCACAGTGAATGAAATCTGTAAATATAATAACACGCTCATCGAACGCCTCTTCCTGTTATTCAGTTGTCTATATGACTAGGTCAATTAGACAAATCATCTATCGAGGGCGATGAGAATTCTATACTTCGGACTTGTGCGGAATAATTATATCACTTAACTATAATAGTTATGTATGTCATTAATAATATTATTACATCCATCTTTTCCACATTGCCGAACTGTTGTTACTTTACTCTTGGATAAATTCCTACAAAAAGTTCAAGGCAGACACTCTTAATTTTATACGCACCACTGCCGTCATCCGACGCAAGCTCTATATCACTTTTTCCATCCTCTAGATTGTCATCTAGACAGCTGGAAGTGGCCGGACTGGAAACCCGTGAAATACTATCATTGTGACTTAGCTGCGATTGATGATCATGGATCACTTGAAAGTTGGTCGCTTGATCGACATAGTTGCTGGGATTATGTGGCTCGGGCTTGGCCAGAATCTGTTCGATGGAAAAACTGTGCTGATGCCGACGCACCACAGATTGGGCATTCATTTTTTTAACAGCGGATCGGAGACGTTTCGAATTTGAACCGGAGCCGGAACCAGACACAACAGCGCACGGCGACTTGTTTCAAAAAACTAATTTGAATTCGAATACGCAACGGATCCTGTGTGTTCAACACCACACAGATCTCAGATATAGGCGTGGTCTGGCCATATAGCGCACTCTTTCCACTCGCCCTAAGAGTGCCAATGCATTGGAAGGAAATAGATGGAATGTCTCGAGACGATGATGCTCTTTGCGAGTGCCACCCATATGTTTATTTTTAAAACATGTGTGAAATTGTCGCAGCCTCTTCGTTTGCGGTGGGCGTATTTTACTGCATTGGAATTTGGTATTTGGTATTTGTTCTTCATCGGGTTTTATTTTTCGATTCGTATAATCGCTGTGATTAAAAGCCATAATTTTTGGCTAATTGTTTACAAGTAGCTGTATTTAATATTTCAATGGCTTGCTAAATATATTTAATAAATTTGTCAACATAATTCATTCGCATATACGTACATTCCTATAATATATGGACTGTATGTTATTTGGGGCGTACAATGAATATTAATAGCTTAAAGATAAATTTACCGAATTTCAACTGTTAATTATGTTATTGATACAATTTTAATTTATGTTTGACTTAAATTTGATATAAAAACATACAATATTGAATGAACAATTATATAAAATAAATCGTACGAAAACAATAAGGGAATTTATTAAAATACCTGTAAATTTTTGGACTTTAAAAATATAATAAAACTGTTAATATTAAATATGTAATTTAAAAGAAATTTAATACAAATTTAAGTTCGATAAAAGTGCATTGGGAAATTATATGCGACCATTGTAAATTTACTCTTTTCTATGTTAATTTATTCCATTTCCGTTTGTTAAATGCCATTTGGCTGCCACACTTTTCGTGTAAAGAACATTTTTTTGGCTGCTTCCCTTGGTTCCTATGGCTATGGGGCCAACTTAGAGGAACGTGTAAAACGTTCATTAATTTCAAATTATTAACACATAATTCAGCCGAAAGGGATGGCAACAGTGGGCGACTGGTAGACTGGGACAGTGGAAGAGTGAGAGAACCATGAGAGGGATTGCCGTTGGGCTGAGGATAGTTTTCAATTGGCTGTTCGCCAACAACATTTGGCATACAGGGTGCCGTGCAACGAGATAATGTCTTCATTATTCATGCACAACTTGAGCAAAATATGTGAAAGCACGTTAATTAGTCTACGCTGCTGCTGAACTATGGAAATGAGAGGCGGACGCAGAGGCAGGCGAATACACGGCAGAGGGGTTTGGAGGGACAGGGCAGAGGGAGCAGCTGGGAATGGGGAACATCAGATTGGGGAATGAGAACGGGGCTGGGCTCATCTATTTAGCCAGGCTGGCTGTCAGTTTGATTTAATTTAATGAGCATATTGCTTATGAGCCGCATGCCACATGCCGCATGCCGCCACATTCAAATCAAAATGACAACTTAATTTTCATAATTGCGCTTAATGAATATTCGACTATTGCTTGCCATATTTTAAATTCCGCTGCCACATACATGTATACGGCAACTTGGCACAGGCATTCCAAATCAATTACCAATTTGCAGACGGCCCACTTGGCCAGTCTTAGCGGCAGTCACAGTTCCTATTGGATTGCATAATAAGTTAACCATATCGTATGAATATGAAACCCACATAAGCTTGTAGCTCAATGTTTTTTTCATTTGTGGTCGTCCTCCACTGGCATTTAACGTTAAATGGAGCACAACGGTGTCACAAAAAATTTAATTAATACGAATGTATGCATCTTCATTATAAATCATCACTTCTCAAGTGTTTGTCAGGCGCACGCAACATAAATCACAGCTCAACTCCGACTACGACTCCCGACTACGGCTCCGTCACTTAGTCTCTTCGTCTCCCGACTCCGACTCCGACTCCGGATCGAAGACGCGTGTATCACTCGCTGATTTTTCTTTGTCCCTTTTTTGTATGTTTTGTCGACTAATGATGCATTCAAGATTCAGGCGAGTGTCGGTGTCTAGTAGGCACCGCAACGCAATCCCCAAGTGCCCCAGGACTCAACATCTGTCCGAAAGAGAGACACTCCCACGACATTGCTCGTGTATTTTGGGTTTCCGATTACGTCAAAGGTGATGCTGAATGCTAAAATCCCTCTCATGCAGTGACTGGGCGTGCATTGAACTCTTTCACGAAATTTTAGCATGATTAATTTGTTGGGCTGTTTGTTTGCCTTGACGCTAATTTGTGTCAGAAACTAATAGGTCTGCAATACGAGACGAAACAACCAGGCTAAGGGACTTAGCTCTGAAGTGAGCTCTATTGAAATGGGTTGAGTCTCTTGTAGAATGACAGAAGTATCTATATAAATACTAAAGGTATATTTTATTTCTGATGTTTTTTTTAAATACTCATTCGAATAAGTAATTTTCCCAAATTCTAGATCCTCTCTCAAAGATAAATAATGTTTAGTTCTTTTTACTTAAGGAAAATTAAGTTTTTAATATTTTAATGATTATAATTTGTGGGAATTTTCAATCGAATGTTAGATGCAGTTTTAATTTGGGTTCCAATGTTGTTAGATTGAACTTTTAGAATGTATTTTACTTAAAGGTAAGTGTACGTAAACAGAGATTCACTTTATCACATATCTTAGCTTTTTATGAGTCAAATTTTATGGAAAACATGCACAGAGACAGGGACTCAAGTTTCGTCATCCTTTGCAGTTAAAAAAGTTACCTCATTCGACAGTTTCCTCATTAAGCAACGGCTGCATTTCATTTCATTCATGAAAACTCCCTCAAAACTTCTTCTCTGCTTCATATATCCACGCCTTATAAGCTGACAGATATAAATAATAATTAAAAAAAAAAGAAAAGAAATGCATATTAATTTAATGTGTGTGGGGAGTTCTGAGAAACGAGCGCTGAATACGCATAAAAGGCGTCATTTATGTATGTTTTGTACAAGCAGACAGACCTCATAAATTACAACCAATTATCAAATTAGATATTTACAAAACATGCAGTTTAAATCAACGTTTTTTATGGCCGGCTCGAGAAGAGAGAGAGAGAGAGAGACAGAGAGAGAGAGAGAGAGAGAGAGAGAGAGATAAGTGGGAGTGGGAATCAAATTTTATGAGGTAACTGTGTTCGTCTATTTATGGACACAAAAACTAAATCAAAACGCGGACTGCACAATCAATTTTGGGTAATCATGTGCTGATGGCAGCAATTAAAGTTGCACGTTGCACGCCGCACGATTGCAAGTAGCAATTGGAAAAATTAGCAGACAATGCACATCTGACAGCACTGAGCAATTAATTTCGAGTAATTACTCAGTGGACGACAGTTGACAAGACACTCTTCACTTCAGAGATGGTGGAGTTGGGTGTAGGTAGTGGGTCGAGGGTGCCACAGTGGAAAAACTACGCCTCGCACTTGATGCAAGTTGAGTTGTTGTGTTGCCACCTCAACGCATCGATGAAGATTTGTATGCATCGAGCCACATTTTGCTTAATTTCTTTGACTCTTAGCTACAATTGCGGCGGCATTTTAATGAGCTGCAACCAAAATTCCCCCTTGAGTGGCGGCAAATTGCGCCCTAACCAAGGGTTAAAGAAATGTTGTTGCTTCTACTGCTGCTGCTGTTGTTGCTGCTGTTGTCTGGATCTAGTTGTTGTATGCTAATTGGCCTGGTGCATGCTGGTTTTGTTGCTGTTCTGCGATATCAAACAGTTTTACGCACAAATTGAAACTGATAATTGTCGCTGGGGCCTGATTTATGGTACTAAGTGATGAGCATATGTTTTAATTAATTTCCAAGAAAGTGTTTTGGCAACTGCCATTTAAACAGACAGCGCCTGTCGACTTTTCAACTAGCTCTTGCACTTGTTGCATTGCATTGAGTAGCTAAATGGAACACGCCACACCTTTGCCCAAAATCACATAATCCGTGCTGTAGCTTATTGTATTGCCAGCAGAGACATAATTTGATGTCTTTAGAAATTATGATAAATGTCTTAGAAAACACGAGCTGCCCCTAAGACCACAACAACAAAAACAACAACAACGTGTCACACATCTGCAAGACATTTTTGTGTTTGGGAAACAACACAAAAGTCATTTGGGAACGTGTGTGACTTAGGCGCCCCACATCCTCCAGCGGTGCTGCTAGCATTTGAGTGAGATTAATGCGGTGAGGAAAATCATAAATTAATTAGAAGTGGAACTAGCTGCTTTAGAAAAATTATATACATCTCTCGCTCGCACTCACTTACTCATTCACTCTCTGTCTGTCTGTGGTTGCAGCACACTCACTTGAGGCAGACACTTATTAGTGACATTTAGTGGCAATTTATTGTGAAAAGTGGTGTACTATGGGGCAGGCAGCAGTGGAGAGTCACTCCCTCTTTCTCTCTCATAACTTACAGGTGTTGTCACAGTAATGCTTAATTAGCTTTTATTATTAGCTACGATGTGCCAACTAAACGCGAACGCTATCAACTACAAAGCGAACGACTGCCTTCAGCCCTGATCCATAAACATAACATGTTTCCTCATTCTCGTTTCAACTATTTCCTGTTCCCCTTAATTGTTGCCGAGGTTGTGGCTGTTGGCGCTTATTGCTCGCGTTTAGGCGCAATTAGCGATCGCCTCCAGGCGCCAGATCGAAAATATAAATGTCGACTATGGCATGTGTAGGTGACTGTCTGGCAAACTGCGACTGGCACTGGAACGGGGACTGGGCCAGGAGCGCCAGCTATGGCTGTAGTCGGGATGGGGCACTAGTGGCATTCGCATTCCCAAATGTCGTCAGACTGTCGCGACTGTTGCATCCTGCCATTAGTTGAACTGTCTGGCGAAAGGAATGTTGTCCTGTCAGAATTTACATTCTGAAATCATAGAAAGACTTCGCTTATAGTACTCAAACTCTTTGCTTATTAAATATATCAATTGAATGCCCTAACTGAATAACATGGCCGAAAATCATTTCATGATCGATCTCTTAAGGTGACCACCAGATATCTGGCCTTATGGATGTGGTAAGAATATAGATAAATATGAAATAAAAAATATATTCTTGCAAGATCTACTCAATAAGTTACTTTTTGCACCCAGAAAGAGGCTACATTCTCTGCATTATTTATAAAATGTTGCCTACTTTTAGGCAGCACGTGTAAAAATCATTCAAGATAATTTTACAATTTTTTTAGAGTAAGACAGCCCAAGTGTATGCTAAGATTCCTGTAGCAAGAATGAGTTTATTTGGTAAAGACAACAAATAATATGACATTAAGAAGCACGATGATTGATTAACAATTTTAAGCCCTATGGAGCTTATCTTCTAATTGTTCTTATTGATAAAGCCGTTCTGAAGAATACATCTATTTTTTCGAAAAACCATTAGACCAGCATGACATTGAAAAATTGTCATTTTGATTTAAAATGTATGTCAAAGGCAGATACCGAATTATTTGAATTTTTGTATTTTATTTCATACTCAGTCAATAGAAATGCCAAAGACAAGCAATAACGTATGTTATTTGGAGCATTCACTGGGAAATGGTAATATGCTAATATTTACTGGTAGTATAGTAGTATAGCTGACATTAATGTGAGAATCCCAATTTATTTATTTGATGAGTGTGCTATAATTCTTGATTTATATTATTTTTATTTGGCTATAGCCAAGAGAGAACGTGTTGAGGTCAGCCCGACACAACGATTGCTTATGCAATTGAGATTGAAATAATGACATACGCACAGTGGCTACAAATAAAGCAGATCGAATGAGTATTTTAAAGTTGTTGTGCGGAAATTTCTACGCACTTTTGTTTACAGGCAGATATGCATTGTTATTCCTAACTATTGAACTTGGAGATAAAGGAAAAACCCTCGTTGTTGACAAGCCAAAACAAAAAAGGCGCAACCTTTGTCGGGTGCCGGAAGTGAATATACAGATACATATATATATGTGTATATAAGTATATATGTTGCGCATACGGCGCGTGATCATTTGCCGTCATCATAGACCAATTTCTCATTGGCTGTCGTCGAGTGGATCAAAAGGCCTTTTGCGTATACTGCGTCGTATGACGGTCAAGGTTGTTGCACAGCAGTGCTTGCCACACGGCACGTTCGACGCACTGCCAACAACGCAAGCGAGATGAGTTTCATTGAATTTGTCGAACGCTTTGAGAACATTTTTAGCCGCCTCAAGGATAACACGCACAGTGTGCCAAAAGCGAGACGCATGTCAAGGTCAACGCCAAGATTCGCCACAAGTGGCAACAACTGAACAACTCAATTTGGATGCTATGACAGCTAATCACAGGTAGCAGTTCAATGCACATCGAACCCAGTCACGGTTCGACGGGTTATGTCATCAACAGCCCGAGCAGACTTATCATTTTAATTTAACTTCATTTTATCTTCACTCTCATTTATCGTTTAATTTACATTGCCAATAAATAAAACCTTGAGTGCTTGGCTCATTAAATTATTTTTGGCATGAACCCTGATTTCGATTTTGTTCTGAGCAATTCGCAGTTTGATTGCTCATTTTTTTGCAATTTGCTTTCATTTTCGAATGTTGTCGCCGTTGCGGTTCCTGTTTGAAAATGCAATTAGCATAAATTTCGTCAAGCTGCTAAATTTAGTGATCATACTTAAATGTGCATTAGCCGGAAGTTAAATGCCTTTATACACACTATTAATATGTGTACGTATGTATATCATATAGCTCAAATCTTCAATTAGCTCCTGCCTGCCCCAAGCCGCAGCTATCAAATTGCATGTGGGGCCCCACCTGGCAGCAGATTAAACCACATTAGAGTTATGCAAGCGGACACGCACAACTTTCCTGTAGATACACACACATACACACACACACACACTCGAATATAGCTTACCTATATGTAGATGCATTCATAGTAATTTTTACCCATGAAGCTGGAGCACAGCAGCTCCTTTGCCCACGCCTTGAGAAATGTGCGACAATTAGCTCAGCGCTAAAAAAACAAGTTTTGATTTGAATTTTTTTTTTGCCCTGTTGCTTTTTGCGCTTGTGGCAACAACGCTCTGGCTTTTTTGTGGAGTGGGCGGCGCAATGCGTGCACAATAAAAAAAGAAGGAAAAATACTGGCAAAATATTGAAATATTTTAATAATAAAAAGACAAAAAAAAAGCGAAACACGCGAATACCTTGGAACCACAAAAAAATCGCACACGCACGGCCAACGATTAAGATACCGATTGCTAGAGTATAAGTACTTCAACTGCAGCTTAACAAAAAAAACCAAACAACAACAAAAAGCAGCAACAACCGCAGGCAAATACCAATAGCTGGACAACAATGCTAACGGCCGCTTTATGAACAATTACGAGCGTCTGAGCCGCGGGCGGGCCTCGAATCGAGGGGGTTGGAGAGCGAGTTACTGAAACTTGGACTTGGAGTTGCATGCGTCACGCGTCCGAATGTTTGGCATGGCTCGTGTGTCATTTCACAAATTATTATTAAATTCATAAATGCGCATTTGCGAATCGATAATCAAATTCGATTTGAAACTGAAATTTTTCAGCAAACTTTGCTTTCACATAGAGTTTGTCTGTATTGGTCACAGTATATTTTGTATGTTGGCCTAGTTACCTTCGAACGGTTCTCGAGTGGTAAATGCTTAAGTTGCTTTCGATTCGGCAGTTGCGTAATCTCTCACATAGACCATGAGCTGGCAAATTTGTGGGACAGATTTTGAGTTGGGAACAGCCTTGTGCCTGACGTCTCTTTCTTGTAGCTCTTTTCAAGTTCAGCTTTTATGAATATAACAATAACTAAAACGGTTGTTTAATAATATGCACATATATGTATTTGCAATGTATTACAATAGGTTTTACAATTAGCATTTAGGCAGCTAATAAGTATAATTTGATATATAATATATATGGATATATGTAATAGATATTTTAACATTTAATTGGCACCTAAATAAACACATAAATTATAATTTATGTTTGCACAAAAGAAAATTAAAAGCTAAAAATGAAAAATATTTTTATTCTCTCCTGTATTAAACTGTTTTGCTGTTTCCTCGGAAGGACAACCAAGTTTCTTAATCATTAAAATAGCTAAAATAATGTAAAAAAAATATGAAGAAAAACAAAAACAATGCAAATAAAAATGAAAAAAATAGTTATTGTTGTAGAAGACAATGTGGCATTTCTGTTTAATCTACAAACCTGAGAGTCTAATTAAGTTGAATATTCTTTTTGCAGCATTCATCTTTTGCAATTACTTGCAGATGTAACTGTAAACTTATTTTATTAGCCCATTTGGGAAATAACCTTGCTGGCTATTATTTTTATGGCATACAACTTATATATGTTATCGTACACATTTTTGAAATATTGAAGTTTCTTCATCATATTTGCTTTAAAATCATTGACATTGAGACGTTTAAATAACTTATAAGCATTAATTGACTTTATAAAGTCCCTATTTTGGGATCCTAACTTCTTTCTTTTTCATTTTTTACTGTGTAAATTCATTAAAGTTATGTCTAAATCTAATTTCGTTTTACTTGTTCTTTTTTTACTTCCTTTCAATTCCGATTGATCTTTTTCCATAGTAGGAGATTTGAATTTGAAACTTATTAAACTGAAAAAAGCTAAAACTATTTACTGGCAGTGTTGCTTTTTATCTAATATTCCATTGTAAAAGGCTTAAGATCAGGAATAAATAGTCGCACAGTGGGGCAATTGCAAGAGAAATGCCACATTCTCTTCATTCAAAAATTAAATTAGTAAAATTTCTAAATTAAAAATTCGTTAACTTATTTTTTTTACATCTACAACATTGCTTATGCCTGGCAGGGCTAAGGGGCGTGGGCATAGGCATGGGCGTGGCCTTAGGCATTGGTGTGGTTCTGGTTCTGGTTCTGGTTGTGGTTTGTGGACAGGTGGACAGAATCACAGAGTACAGCCATTATTTTCACAATTAAAAAATATAAACAAAAAGTTTAACAAAAGTTACCCACTAAAATTAGTTAACAATTCCATTGGACTCATGCCTAGTTGACTGGCGATATGGTCTGGCCGAACTTACGGGCGCGCTGCCCAAACCCCTTACTGCCATCGGGGCCAATGGGCGTGCGTACTAGACTCTCAGCGGTGCGCTGAGCAAAGGAGCCGGAACGGGAACGCGGCGAACCATCCAGGAAGCTGCCGGTGCGCGAACGAGGCTGTCCATCATAGTCGCTGCCTGGGCCGCCATGTTTGTAGCTGCTGAGGAAGCTGCCAGTGCGGGATCGTGGCGATCCCTCAAACTCCGAGCCAAACGAGCATCGTCGATCATAGCCCGAGTCCGTGGAGATGCGACGTCCACCAATATACTGGGCATTATCGTAGGCGGCCAGCTTGCTGCTCACCTGTTGGAAGTTGTTGGAGTAGCGTCTTGGCCACACCTGATAGCCGCCGCCACCGCCGCCCACCAGCTGATCGGGCTCACGTTCGCGCTCGACATTTAAGTCATTGGAAGCGCGCCGATAGAAACCATTGCCATCGCTAGCATTGGAAAAGCTACGCTCGAACTGCATGGAGCCGTTAGAGTAGCGTCTCTCACCATTCCCCTGGCAGCTGCCATTAGAGCAGACAGAGCTCTTGCGATATGCCTCCGACTGGCCAAAGTCAGAGACGCGGCGCGAGCACGGACAGCTCTCCGAGCAGTTGGAGTCGCGACGCTGTGGTGCACCAGTTTCCGAGCAGTTGCTCGCCCGACGCGACATCGAGAGAGGCGCTGCATCTGGACCATAGTTCTGCTCCGAGCAGTTGGACAGGCGACGCTGCAGACTGCTCACCGGCTGCACTGGGCTAGGATTAGCATTGTTGCTGCTGTTGTTGCTTGCTGCGACAGCGGCAGGCGGCGTTAAGGGCTCGCCTAAAGCAGCTGCCGTGTTGGCAGAGATTGTGGACGTATTGCTGTATCGCCTGGGCGCATAACCGAAAAAACCCACACCAGTTGGTGAATGCTGCTGCTGCTGCTGGTGTTGCTCCATTGCAATGCTGCCACGTGGCTGATAGTGCTGATAGCCATGATAGCCATGATGATGATGCAACTGCTGCTGCTGCTGCTGTTGCTGAAGCTGCTGCTGTTGCTGATGTTGATAGTAGTTCGGTTGAAAGTCCGAGTTGTTGCGCTTGAGCTTAAAGCGTAGATCATGCAACGGCTCATGGCTGGGTAAGCCAGAGAAGCTGCCACCACGTGTCCTCTCACAGTTGGCCTCATTGTAGTAGCGATAGTTCTCCACCATACGAGCAACTGGCGCTGCCAGCTGAATGACGGCTGCCTTTTTGCCCGTTTTCTTCTTGGGCGCGACCATCTCGTACACCTGAAATGGTCCACCCAAATGAAGGGCGTCGCGTGCCGACGATGATTCCAGATACTCAATCAGTGCGCACTCCTTCTGCTGAAGCTCTGGATATTTGTTCATAAACTGACGCACATCCACGGGAATGGCCATGCCTGGTTTGAGGATGCGTATCAAGGCAATCTCGCCACACTTGGAGAACAAATCGGAGACCTTATCAATGCAGAGCTTGTCCAGTGGCAGATCGCAGGCGACAATCGTCCGCGATGGCATCGTCTCATCGAAACTGGGCAGCGGCTCCAAGCGACGCACCTTCGTGCCCTGATCGTTAAGCTGTATCTTGGATGACTTGCGACGCACTGCATTGCCGACGACCTTCCACTCGCGGGTGAGCTGGCGAACACGCTTGAAGCTCGACACCAGCTTGAGGCTGACGAAGCCCTCCTTGTTGCGACGCACATGCTTCAGCAGGAAGGCATCCTTCAGTATGCTCTCATTGGAGAAGTAAAACTCTACAGCATCGGCAATCTCCGCTGCGAGCTCATCACTGGGCATCAGCGATGCATCCAGTGTGTCGATCTCATTGACCAGCTCCTCGGTCGGCTCCACTCTTACCTGTGCTCTTTCTTTCTCGTCCTCCTGCTCCTCGCCGGGTTTCTTTAGGCTGAGGAATGAGCGATGCACGCGACGCGTTTCCATCACTGGCGAATTAGCTGGCGCCACTGCGGGTGGAGGTGAGGCATCCAAATTGAAATTGGGATGCAAATAAATGTTATCCATCTGATGTTTACGAAACTTCTCCAGATTGGCCTCACTGAGAGGCACAGCAGGTGACGTGCCCGGTTCAGTCAGGTCAACCAGCTCCGGCTCGTGCATAATGTGATTGTCCACGGCCAGCGGCTTGAGCTCATCATCCTCCTCGGACTCCTCCGAGTCGCCAATAGACGAACCCATACCCACATCCAACAACTTGTCATCGATGGACACCAGCGGCGGTGTCGGGGAGAGTGGTGGCGCACTGGGACTGGTTGGTGTATCCTCGGATCCGGAGCCAAATTGCGAGTCTAACGATTCAATTTGATGCAGAAGCGCCTGCGCCGAGCGTTTGGCATGCAAACGCAGCAGCTTCGATGGCAGCGACGAGGAGAGCGGTACAATAGCCTGCGAGCTGCAGCATGGCAGCTCCTCAAGCTCCTCCAGCTCCTCGGTAAGCTGGGTCATTGGTGGCGTTTGCGGTTTCATCACCGGCACTGCGGTTAGAATGGGTGTCCCTGTCACGGGGCTGACGAGAAAGGTGTGTCCTTGGGGCACCTTTACCTCGTAGCTGCTGGGATTGCAGTTGGCCTGATCCTGTTCACTCATCTTGGCTGATGCTCTGAGCACTAGGCACTCCAGCAAAAGCGACTGCACAAGTTTGTTGTTGCACGAGCTTTAACTCTAACTCTGTATCTATGGCCGTATCTTCGTCTCTGTGTCTATTTATCTCTATCTGTTGCCTGAAGCGCTTGAGCTGCTTGCTGCTTGCTGCTTTTTGTCTGGGTCCAAAATTCACTTTCACTTTCAAGTTCAGCTCCAGCTGCTGTCTGTGCACTTACATTTAACAGTCAGTGTGTGCATTTACTCAGCGTTCATTGAACGTCAGCTGTTTGCTGTTGTTGTTGCTGTTGCTGTTGCTGTTGCTTGGCTTTATTTTGCGTAATTCTGCAGCCTGCTGTTGAACGTGCTTCGAATTCTATCCGCTTATAGTTTTTTTAAGGTAAAAGTTTGGGTAGGGGGAAACTGGGGGTTTTGACTGCTTTTTGTTTTCTAGGCCGCGCTTGACACCGACACCATTTGATAGTCGTTAAAAACGGCACCGCAACAATTTTTATTGTTGTTATTGTCTTTTTTGCAGTTGATAAATAAGTTGTTATAAAATTTAAAATTTACATTTGGGGTTTTTATAGCGCTGTTTTTGTTTTTGTTTTTGTTTTTTTTTGTTTTTAATTTGTTGTTATTCCGTTTGTTCAGTTGTTGCCCGTGCGAGTTTCGTTTAATTATTTCCGTTTGGCTTGAGAGGGTGTTTGCAAAGTGTTTGTTGTTGTAGTTGTTTACAGTTGTTCGGTCCGTTTACGTACGCGAGTTCATGCAACGCTGCAACGCGGAGATAGACTGAAATTGCAAATTGATTTGAGGTCGGTTAAATACCCTCTGCTTTCGTTTAATTTTTATTTTTGTTGTATTTACAGCGACTGCCGGTGGCAGCGACGTCAGCAGCGACGTCAGCAGCGACGTCAGCAGCAACAGCGACAGCAGCAGCGTCGAGCGTTATTGAGCGGTCCAAGTACGCACGAAACAGCCGATAGCAACAAAAGCAACACTGAGAGACAGCGGCGTCGACTGCGCAGCCAGCGGCGACAACTTATTGGCAACTGAGCAACACCAACAGCAGCACACGAAACTTGTTGCGTTGGCAACAACCACAGCAACAACAACAGCAACAACAACAGCAACAACAACAACACGAACAACAACATTCGCTCAGTGCATTTGTCAGCCAGCTTTGTTGCACTTGGGAATTAAGTGAATTTTATTTCATATAAATTGTTCTGGCAAGATACAAATACAGATACAGATACAGATGCACTGATACACGCACACTGCGAGGTGCTTCCGATTTATTTATTTGCAAAATGTTATTTTAATTTATTTTTTGTGTCTCTTCGCAGCTCGTTTGCATTGAGCAAAGCGAACGATCGCGAAATGTATTGCTCATACGCAGCGTTCGCCGCGACACGAAGCGAAAATTGGGAAAGTGCTTCAGTTAGTTTGTGTTAGTGCCTCTCTCATTGATGCTGTTGTTGTTGTCGATTTGGCGACCTTGTTGCAACCAATTGCTGTCATACAAATTGCAGCATGCAAGTCCAGCATGTTCAATTTTATCTATGGGGAAGCAGGAAGCGCTACAAAATTACAATTCGTTGAGGGTTAGGAAATGTTTGTGTACTAATGGAGTTTGCATCTAATAGATTGTCATCTAGGCTGGACTGAACTGGACTGGACTGGGTGTATGTCTAGAGGAAGTTGTTTTTCTGAATTTTAAATAAGCTAAAAATAGTATAGGAACTTGTCATAAATTTTAGTTAATTTGCTTTAATTTATTTCATAAATCTCATAAATAAAATAAGAACTTATCTAAATTATATCAGAGACACTTCATATATTACAATAATAGATAAAGCAATAAAATATATACAGCCAAATAGTAACAACAAATTAATTATATACTGCCAAATCATATTATTTGAATATTTCAACGCATTTCAGATGTGTATTTTAAATATCACTTTTCTTGATTAATGACTAAATAATTAGTATAATTTCGCTACTCTAAAATATCTGTATATTTTCATTTTCGACTTTTACAAATGAATTTTTAAGCAAGGTCATAAGTTTTTATAAGTTTCACATATGGCCTATTAGAATTTTAATGATGACTGATAAGCTAAATAGCCGTTAGCTCAATGCAAGGCAACAGCTGCAGAAAAACAAATTTGCATTGCTGAATTACCTCATAAGTCTTGTTAGCTCTTAGCTGTAATTTGCATTTCAAGTGCAAGTTCAAGACCAATTGCATTAAGAGATGCCTTAAAATTGCGTCATGTGGCATGTATAACTGGGTGGCACTCTTGCATACTAATCCTTTTAGTGGTTAGCGGGCTAGTGGCTAGCATTTATGAAACGTTGTTAATGTTGTTACATCAGTTCTTGTCTATGATAAAATTGTACAATCTCACATGAGTCTAAGGGCAGCAAGTGCCACAAATATTTGCAATCCAATTATAAATACTTAAGTAATTTATACATACATATGTGTGTGCAGGCAGACAGAAGTCAATTGTGCTAATCGGGCGTATGCTTAATGCGATTTCGACTGGTGCCACTGGTCGATAAGGTCAGCTGGCTGTCCATTAACTGCCAATTGACGACAGGCATTTGCAGCCCATTTGATTTCGGGTAGTCATACAATTTGATTTGCCAACAAGTAAATTATGATTTTTAAAAACTGCAAAAAATATATGCTGCCAAACAGTGAAACAATAACAACATATACAATGGTAAAATAACCTTGCGGTAAAAGACATACAACAACAGCAACAATACCAAAAGCTACGAGATAAAAATTCAAGTATTTTAGCTGAAAAGAAACAAATGATTTATTTAATACACAAAAGTAAAAAATAATATATTATGATTTTTTTGTAATTTGTTGCCTGTCGCGGTGGCAACCTCCAAAATCTGAGAAAAAAGGGCGTGGCAATCAAACTGTACATAGACAGATTAATTTGCAATTTTGGCCAACAAAGCTCCAGCTTAACCAGGAAATTGGTAAATGTTTGTTGGGGTAGGTCATAGCTACTTAAAGCCAGATTTCTGGCCTAGTCAACTTACCAAAAAAAAAACATCAATTGGGTCTAAGAGTCACTTTGGCTTTCAGTGCGAGCCATTTTTTGCATGGTTGGCCATGTCTGATGTTGTTCACGCATTTATTTGCTTTTATTGAACGTTTATTTACGTTGTGCAAACACACACAAACATACACATACACATATATATTATTGTTGTTGTTGCAATTGTTGCTATGCCTACACTCTTTTATAGTTGTGGCTGTAGCTGAAGGCGCCCAGGGTCATCCAGGCGCTGTCGATGTCGATCTGCTTATGATCAGCATCGGGCCGAGCATTATAATTATTATTACTTATTGCTATTATTGTTGTTGCTGCTGCTGAAGCTGCTGCTGCTGCTGCTGCTGCTTTACACTCTAATTTTTGCTGTTGTTTGTCCTTCTGTTGACATATTGCACGCGGTATGCGTTAAACACAAAATTATGTTTGTCTTTTTTTGCCGTTGTTCACTTGAGCCTACGCAAAGCGAATCAAATCGAATCGAGACGATTTGAATTGAATTGAGGTAGGTGCCAGCTGAAGCTGGTTAACACTTAGTTTATAAAATGAAATATATTAACAACGATTTTTCGTATTTTGGAAATTCCCAAATGCAGCAAAAAGCTCATATTAAATATCAAAAAATTGTGATGATTGACAAAGTTAATACCGAGAAATTTAAGATAATTTGTATCTTTTCGAAAGTACAATATACCCACAAAAAAAAAAAAAGACTTACAAATGTGAAAAGGACATCGAACTGCATTATTGTACAGGTTACATGGAAGCAAAACAGTTGTTAAACGAGTTTAATGTATAAAAATATCCCAACTGCTTTTAATATTTACTTTTATGTCTGGAATTAAATGTTACAAGCTGAAACAAAACAATCTAAAAGTCCACTTCTTAATATAATATTCTAGACACATTACACTGCAGTCTTTTAAGGTATGTGTTACATAAGCTCATGCACCTATCAATAGTCCATAATATGTGATTCACTCAACAGCTCATCGGATTGCATGACGTTAACGTCATGAGGTAATGTCCAGGCCCAAAAGCCATAAGACAACTGGCAACTGACTAACGTAATCACGAAAGTGCCCATATAATAATAATAATAATAATATTAATAAAATAACAAAAAGTGACGCTGCTCACCTCAAGTTCAATGTTAACAGCAGAGAAACGTGGAAGCACAGTTATTGTTTATGTGGCAAAGGCAAACCAAAATGTTAAAAAATAAAATAAAAAACAATTCTGTTAGCCGAGTTGCAATTTGCGTGATTTGAAGCGTTTGAACTTAATGTCAAGTTTCCCAATAGCAACAGTGCATTAAGCAGCCCTTATCGACATTATGCGATTTATGATGGTTAAATTATGATTATTAAATGACAGTCGTTGCAAGTTGCCAGTTCGCTGGCCTGAAAATTGGGTCATGAGAACACAGTGATTGTTGCATAATCCAGAACCTTTTGCGCCAAAAGGGAACAGGAAAATGAGCAAACAGGTTCAGTTGAGAGGACCAAGGGCATTGCAACCTTGAAGCTGAACGCTTTTTGTCTGGCCGTAAGTTGCAATCACCACCTGCGTTAAGCGCAACTAAGCGGCTAGGTGGCATCCACTTGAACCGGTTGCTTGACGTTGCAAGTGCCACAAACCGCGCCACAGTTTGAGTTTGAATCCGAGTCTAAGTCTGAGACAATGCCGGCAAACAAGCCCAAGTTTCGGCACTTCATTAATGAAGCTCAGACGACGTCGTTGGCGTCGCCTCGTTGCAACCTTGACAGACCCCGACCACAAAATTTATTGTATTGTAATCAGAAAAAGCGCTTTCAGGCCCAGGAAGCCGACGAAGACTCCGCTGCTGCCGCTGGCGATTGATCTGAGATGTGTGGAACAGGTTGTCTGGCTATTGTGGCTCCATCTCTGGGGTTGGCTGACTGCAGTTGACCTCCACAATTGGCGTTACATATTTTATTTTATTTTTCGCTGTATATCTGTGCGCATATTTTATTTTTTAAGGCACGCTTTTAATTAAAAGTTCGCCGTTCAATTATGTTGAAAAATTGCAAGTGTAACGCCTCGCAATATGCGCTCTCTCTTTCTCTCCATCTCTCTCTGTTGCTCTCGCTGTCTGTGAGTCTTTCAGGCAGCGACAGAATTGGGTTACATATGTCAAGCGGCAGTACCGAGAACAGCCCCATAAAACACGCTTTAGGCCTATGTAGAACTGGGCCCGGCTCGCATTTAAAAGCCAACTGAAAAATTGTTGTGCAATTAAAATCACATTTTGAGCCCGCAAACGATTTGTGAATGGCTCACAGAGACTAACTGACTCCGACTGCGACTGCAACTGCGACTGCAACAGAATCTGGCCACACTCGGTGCGTGCTGGGGCAAGCAACGCACAAACAGCGCCTATATACATATACATATATGTATGTATAAGTCGAAGCGTTTGTGTGTGGGTTGGGTCTCGGTATGCGCAAAATGTTATGGCCATAACGAAAGACATGGCAATAATGTAAAGCACATTTCAAGCACTTCAAACCGCTAACATTTATGGGCTGACAGTTTTAAATAAAAGTGTTACCAAATTGCGTAATCCTCAACGCACTCTCATGTGAAGCCTGCATGAAGTGGAAAAAAGTGTGGCCCATTTTTATTAAATTTAGATGATTTTAATTTGTTTATTAAATGAAAATGATGGCTTAATTAACAACGAAGTGCAGGGTATAGGTAAGTCTTACACTCCCGACAATTTACATGTGTACAAATTATTTAGTAAACACTTGCAATACATTTAATATGTTATTTAAAATCTTCTCAAGCTTAAACATATTCTAAATGAATAAATCCAGCAGTTAATATAAATAATTAGGCTTTTAGTCAGTTATGGTTATTAAACAGCATGAACATTTTTTGCAGTTAAAACCTACATAATTTCTTAATCAGAATTCAATTAAACAATTCACATTGAACAATTGTTTATTTGTTTTGTAGCATGACGCAATTAAGCTATTTAAATTCCGATCGCACGCGACTTTTCTATAAAAACGCAATTTAATGCAACGGAAATAGCTGGAAATGAGCGACATACAAAAAAAAACACTTAAGGACAAGTTCAATGCAAATTAAACAAAATAATTAAATTGAATACTAAATAAATGAAATGAAAGTTTTTGGCTTAAGGATTTAAGGAGATTTCAAATTATATTGACATATATTTATCCAAGTCGAGGTGGTTGTATTTTGGTTAGTTTAATCGGGTGCATCAACATCAGATTTGCATTATCCGGTTGCGTGACACATGCTGTATGCAACTGGTCAGCAATTGGCGAGGTTGTTGTTGCCGTTGTTGTTGGCAACATCGTGATTAATCTGCATATACATAGAACACTATTCGGCCTTCTAAAATCGCGACATTAAATTATGCGCTTAGGCCTATTATTTTATGCAATTGATAAATTGCCAAACGAGCCAAACGGCAAACATATCGCTATGCCTCTCACTTTTTACAATGCAACAATATTGTTGTTGCCGCTGTTGCCGCTGTTGCCGTTGCTGTTGTTCGCTGCTGTTGCAGTGAAAATCCGCTCACAATGCGTGCCAAGTTTGTCACAAGCACCGCCCAACGCCCCTCTCCATCCTGCTGCAAAACATTGGCAACTTTCATACGTGAACTGTTCAAACTAGCTATTGTTGTTGTGGCTGTTATTATGTTTGTTGTTGTCTGTCATTCGCTTTCAATGTCAAGGTCGTAAGTTGTGTGCATTATTAATTAATTTATATAGCATTTATTGACTTTCAATTAGCTTGAGAGACAATGCCTCGTCTGCTACAACTATCATCCTTGTAGCCTACACAACTAATTATATGTAGTATATCTGTGTTATTCAACGTAGGTCGCTTCTTAAGTAAATGAGCTGATAATGAGTCGTACATGTGTCTCGCTCAAGTGAAAATTGAAAATATACTAAAGAAACGCCAGCTCAAAATGTAGTTCATTATCAACAATTTGATATAATCAAACAAATCCATGAAGAACAACATATTATTGAAGACAATATGTCAAAGCAGACAGCACTTTTCAAAACAAAATTTATCCGAAATAATACAATAATAATTGAGCCCGGTGAACTTGATTACTTTCCTGCGATATTCAAATATTTCATTTGCTAATGCGCTTAGTTATTTGAGTGGAACTAATATTTATATTTATAATTACTGTTAATGAAAATCTAGATATTTTAAAAGCCGTTGCCATCCTTAATAGCAGACTCAGTTCTCTGACAGACATGAACACAACCAGTCTTTGTTTCTTTATTGGCATCTGTTTGGTGGCCATTTGCCCAGTTTCGAATGGGGCTCGCGTAAGTACTGTAAAAACCAGCTTCTTGAGCTGGAACTCATTTTCGACCATTGCCTTTTTTCTTCAGCGTTCCCGTTACCTGTTGCAGTGGAACAAGTATGATTTTGTCAAACACTGGGACGCCATAAGCAGTATGACAATCTTTATTGAGAAGAATGGCCTGATAAGCTCCGAATTGGTGCTAACTCAGCCCCTGGACGAGGTGTGGTTAAAGACCTCAATTATTGTGCCACGTCCTGTTCAACAAACTAAAATGTTGCTCATGGAGTCGGAATTTGAAATCTGTCAATTCTTGCGTGAAGGAAACATGAAGAATAAAATAGGGCTGTACGTATTTCAGAACATGGTCAAAAATAGCAATTTTCCAAAACAGTGTCCCATTAGTAAGGTGAGTGCAATGTGGTCTTGGTGGTATAATTGGAATATATTATTGTATTATCTTCTTGCAGGGCCTGTTGTACTTTCATAATATCGACGGTTTGGATCAGTTTCCAGCGTTTCTTCCCGAATCGAATTTTACGATCCGTATGCGCTTCCATCGGCCCAATACAACAGACAGCGTGAATGTAACGTTAGATGGAACCGTCATTGAGAAAAATAATGCACGCTATAAGATTTGGGTTTGAGTAAAATGTAATATTAAAACAAGTAAGAGTACTGTAGTCGAGTGAGCTCGACTAGGATTTACTCTGAACCGAGTTGCTAAATATTTGTTGTTTATTGGAAAATTATATTTAAAAGTTTTGCACCAATATGTGAGCAGGTTTGCAAGCGTGAATATTCATACATAGATACATATGTATGTATATACATATATACGTACACGCCATCGAAAAAGGGTAACGGGGCTCTGCAGCATACACACAAAACATATTTACGCTCGCGTCGATTATCATGCCATCTCTTTCTTACGCATGTGCACGCGTATTTATGCACAAGGAAAATGCTTGCGGCTGCTGATGGAAATGAGATCAATATGAGAACATATTTTCGACTATAGCTTGGGTCTTTCTTATCTGATCTTGATGAAATTTGGGCAGTTGTATTTTATATTATGTATTAATTAGAAGATTCTGCCTTTCAAATTGTAGCATTTATTGCTATCAGAAATTTTAATGTATCGATAATCGAGAAATGGAGGCAGTTGTCGATAAAATAAAGCAAACTTGATCTGCACCTGGTACACGATAACCTATTTTCCAAATTTGAAATCTCTAGCTCTTATAGTCTCTGAGATCTGCGTGTTCATACATACGGGCGGACGGACGGACATGGCTATATCGAGTCGACTGTTGACCCTGATCAAGAATATGTGTATATACTTTATGGGTCGGAGATTCTTCCTTCTGCATGTTACAACATTTGCACAAAACCATTATAACCATTATATACAGTATAAAAATAAATTCAGACAAATTTCCAATTTTGTTTTGATTTAAATCATTGATGATTGCTTGGCGATTCATTCGATGAACTTGTTAAAGTTTTATACTTTATATAGTCACGCCAGTTAATAGCATCATCATCATCATCGGCATTAGCACTGCTGACCTCAAATGTCAATTGTTGCCACTGAAATGGCAATTGGCGCCGAGCTTTTGTTTTCTTACCAACCTTGGCCTTACATAGAACGAAACGTAAACAAGCATTTCATGACTTATGCTTCTATATCTTTTCGCTCTATTCACATAGATCTGTCGTATATTTCTAACGGCACTTTGCTAAACAGCTGTTGTTAAACCCACACAGCTGCCGCCCATCTATTTACCACGTTACCGCCGCTGACATTGCAAAACTATAAATAAAATACAAATCTAACGACAAAACAAACTTATAAGTACAATGGCAATAACAAACAAAAAAAAATACCCGTTAGCACGGTCCGACCCCGTCTGGGGGTCTGTTAGATTAATTGCACATTGATTACAGACAATTGCAATGTCAACGAGCCGCACAAGCGGAAATATAAAACGCTAATCGCGCACAAAACGCTCGAAAGTCGCGCGCCAGCCGCCCCCAATTGCTAATGCGGAAGTAGCGTAACGATTGTGCCTTTGAAGTGTATATGTGTGTGCGTGTGTGTGTGTGAGAGAGACAAAGCGAATTCCCAGTAGAGCTTGAACGCATTCAACAAAGATTTGAGAGCTGAATATTAATTTAATGCTGCTCTTTTCTTTTGCACTATACGATTCGAGTGAGAATCAATGCCAGTCATATTACATGAGAGACCCAGCAGTACTTGAAGCCAGGCAGGCGCTCTTTGCGAAGAGAGTTGTTTTTCAGTGCATATTTCACGATTTTTTACATGCAATCAAACTCAACTGGGTCTTCAAATTAAACTTAAAGCAAAGGCGAGAGAATCAATGTTATTTTTGTTGTTGGTGGAATACTATTACACTATTTACCGTAATAGAGTGAAAACTGATAGCGCTGTTTGTATTTCAGCATAATTATGAACTTTGATGCTATTTATTTTTTCCATTTTTGCACTTCGGATTGGTTGGTTTTCTTTTAGTTACTTAAGTGTTGCAATAAATACTTAAAGGCTATGTAGGAGCGTGTGTAGCACACGCTCTTTAGTTTAGCAACTAAAATACAACGTTAACAGAGTAACGGGTTAACGGGTTAAGGGGATAACGGGGAGCGAGCAGGTCTTGGGCGGGCAGTCGACAGTTAAATAGTTACGGCAACTGCACGCTAGGCGGCGCACCAGCATAGGAACAAAAATACTACAATTTCAGCGGACGCTTCGCCAGATGTTTCTCCTGTTTCCGCTCGCGCTGATGCAGGAACTCACGCCGTATATCGCTGGCGCGCATCTCCAGGATGCAATTGAGCTTATTGCGTATCTGCTCCGCCGTATGCACATCCGTATCGAAGTCATAGTGTTTAAACCGAATGCTCGCCACGCTCGAGAACAGTCCAAACGGCGAACTGGAACTCGAGCCCGAACTGTGCCGTGGACTGGACGGTGAGTGACCAAAGCCACCACCAACATTGCTGCCGCTCAGCGTTGCAGTGCTGCCGCTCGGCGCCGATGTGCAGCTGGTGGCGATGCCGCTGGAAGAGTTGGATTTCAGCCAAATGCGCAGCACGGCTTTCAGCTGGCGTTGCTCGACAATTTCACAATGCGCCACCAGATCGATGGGCGTCGACACCGGCTTTCGATTCGTCCAGAATTTTGTGTTCTTGTGCTGATCGATCTCAATGCGTTCGCCGGACACGGCCAGCGTCACGTCGCTTTTGAAGAAACGCTTATCGATGATGGTGAGGCGGTAGGTGCGATGCATGGGCGCCTCCAACATATCGTTGTGATTGAGCAGTCGCTGCTCATACTCCTTGACCTGGTCCAGGGGACTGTCGGGCACATCGCCATTCAGATTGATGTGCTGCAGCGCATGGACAGCGGCATCGGCCATCGCCACCTTGTCCTCCTCGGAGGTCATTGATTTGGTGCCCAACTGGTAATCGATGCGCGTCACTGGCGCCAGTGGACGGCGTTCGGCAAGTGTTAAGTGTGAGAAACCAAATTTGGAGCACGGCTCACGATTGTCGAGTGGCGGAAAGTCTTCCATGTCATCGTTATCCTCCGTCATATATAACGCATAATGCTGTACAGACTTCAGCTGCACTGCATCCGTATACTGTAGGGTAGTTTTGTAGCACACCAGCCCAATCACCTCAATGATTTTCGCCGTTGCCAGCACACAGATTTTGAGCGGATAATTGCGCTCCGGCTCTGGCAGCATATTTACATAAACATTGATGCGTTTGGTGGGCATGCCCACCTGGGCGGTGCCATCAAAGCGAGCGTATTCAATGAAACGATTCTGTGTCTGTTTCGGACTCCGCGCCAGCTGCTCCGTCAGCATGCTACGCACGCCCCTGTCGGAGAGATCGTCATCGCTGCTCGATTTTGTTGATGTTGTCGTCGTCGCTGATTTTGTTAATGTCGTCGTTGTTTTTGTTTTAGTAGATATTGTGGGCTTGTCTGCGGGTGGCTCGCTCAGCGCCTTGCGCTGAAAGAAATCCTTGCGATCCGGCGGCTGCACCTCCTCGTTGTAGTTGACGCTTTTGATTCTCGCCGCTTTGCGCTTTGCTATGTCCAGTTTCTCCAGTTTCTGTGCGGTGTTGGAGCGAAATCGATGTGCGCCCACCTCGGGATACATTTGTATGTCGAAAGAGTGCGTGGACATGTCCATATCTTCGTCATCACTCAGATCCAGACCGGGGTAACACAGAAAGTCAACTTCCTGCAGCGGCTGATCCGCTATCCGTGGCGCCATCATATGATGCTGATGTAGTGGCGCCGACCGCTGCTCCGGATGCTTGCGCTGCTGTTGGTGGGACGCCTGCAACCGCTGGCTGCGTCTGTAGGCGTCCATCGTTGTGGTGGCAGTTTGGAATTTCCTCAGATAATGCTTTGGCATATCGTCGCTGAGCATCACCGTCTCGCAGATGCCCGTGTCGTCCGTCGATATGAACGAGTTGCGGATGTGCGAGAGCAGCCAGTGCTGGTTGGAATAGGTGGCCATTGCACTTCGTTTGCGTCTCTCTCTCTTTTGCACAGAAAACGAATCCAAAATTCTTAGTTATCTCTGCATTTGTGTGTGGCCCAATATTACTTGCTCTTCTTCTTCTTTGCTCAATTAAACAACACTAACAGCTACCACCTACTGCAACGGTGGCCACCCTAATACTTAACATTTGCTGTTATGTTGCATGAATGATACATTGAGAAGGTTACAACTTTCATACAGCTACCGATAACATACTTTTGACACATGCGATGCTTCAATTCAAATCTAATCAATTCCATTGTAAAGCAGCTTATCAAATTCCCATTAATTATTTGAGTGTGGTCTTGCGAAGTGTTAATTGTAAGAAATTTTTAAATTTAAGTGTGGCGGCAAACACAATTGCTTCTTCTTCAGAAATCGTGACATAAATGTAAGATGCGATAGTTACAATATTGTAACCATAATATGTCAATATTGTCGAAATAAATACAAACTGTGTCAGCTTTAAATAATACAATTACGAATTATTTACTTGATGTATCAAAAAAACACAGCTCATTTATACATTAATATCCAGAATATTGACATATTGCAGCGGAAGCATAGTTCGCATAATATATCGATATATAGGTGCACTTGGCGGTATGCCGATATGTCGATATATTGATATCTAGCTCACATCTCTACTACCATATGACTTTTCGACAAGACGCAAGAAAAATACCACAAAATTAGGCAATTTGAAGTAAGTTTTCGAATAGAAGTGCTGCTTAAGAGCTGTCAATATTAATGTTTACAAAACAGCACACATAACTGCAGCGTATCGATGTTGTAGCAGCGCCCAAAATGGCGGGCATCCCGGTGGAATTCGATGAGACGGCGGTCAATCAGTTCAGCTGCAAACGTTGCGACCGAGTAAGTTTCACTCGCATTGCGATAATAATTGAGATGTTATTTTATTTACAAGTGTTCTCAATCAATCGCTTATCAATTGCAGACGTTTAAGAGCAAACGCGATCAGACACTGCATCGGCAAGAGGTGCACAACCACAACAAAACTACCTATGAGTGCAAACTGTGCGCCAAGAGTTTCTGCAACAGTGGCAACCTCGACCGCCACATGAAGGTGCACAACGATGTGCGGCCGTTTGTGTGCAACATATGCTCCAAGGCGTTCGCACAGGCCGTCAACCTGCAGCGACACTATGCCGTACACAGCGGTGAGCGTCCATATCAGTGCAACTTCTGCAACAAATCCTTCACGCAGCAAAGCAATATGAAGCGCCACAAAATGACACACACCGGCGAGAAGCCGTTTCGATGCCAGCGTTGTGGCCGCTACTTCTCGCAACTGGTCAACCTTAAGAAGCACAAGCTGGGCCATCTAAATGCCAAGCCGTATCAGTGCAATTACTGTGAGAAGGGCTTCACGCAACTGTCCAATTTCAAACGGCACCTGCAGTCGCACATTAAGGAAGGCGTCGATGTCGATGTGCCGGGTGCGATACAAGCAGCCACGGCGTTGGCGCGAGAGCGACTGGAGGCCGAACAGAAACCGTTAGTTCATAAATTAAATCAAAACTTCCATGATGATCTAGCCTCGGATTTTAATCAATTTAACTGATTTATTTGCAGTAGTTTCTTTGAGTGCATGGTCTGTCGTGCCATTTTTGAGACGTTTGGGGACTATGAGAAGCACGAGAGCAAGTGTCATGAGGAACATGAACGCACTCAGCTAGAAGTTAATCAAATGGCGCATATGCATGCGGACGACTACTTGCCGATGAAGTTTTCGGTGCCCGATTTGGATACGCACGAGATCATTATTGAGACTACACACTAATGCCACCCACATGAAATCATACACACACACAAACCCACACCCACATACACCGCAACAAATCCAACATCTTCACTCAGCGGGAAAGAGAGCGAGAGAGATGGCAAACATATGTGAAGATGCACCTGTAACATGTCGCTACGTACGTTTATGGAAGTCGTCAATGAATATGCAGGCCAACATATTTCTTATAAATAAATGCAAACACATAATGAAAATAATGAAAATTGTAACTGTATCGGTTCATGTGAGCAACTATATCAACATAATTGCATAATTGTATAATTTAAGCGTATTCGCAATGTTTAATTGCATTAAAAGAAGTTCAACAAAAATCTAATCTGAACTTTTTCATGTAAAACGTAATATGTGAGATTTTATTGCTCGTAAGGAGTTTGGATTTTTAACTACTCGTTTACTTTGTGATTTTATGGTTAAATGATTTCAAAAATGTGGCACGTCATAAATGCCGCAAGTCAAAGTTACTCGTGCAGAAGTTTAAGGTCTTTGTCGGGTATATTGCCGTTTTATCGGTCATTTCCTTTAGCTATAAACTCTTGCTAATGTTTGATGCTCACACTTTCTTAAATATTGCCTACCTAACAGGCACTTTGCCATTAACAATTGATTTTTATATACCGCTTATACACCATTTGTTGACAAACGGGCGCTTTGAAAGTGTATATTACGATTTTGTTGCTCCCTTAAGCCGATAATGCAATCATTTTGTTCTACATAATAGGTTTATATGAGAACCATTAAGGGGCTCCGTGTGGAAATTGCCCTAATTAGTGTCACGTACTTGTTTACATGGCTGTACAATTGCATTTAATTTATTTATCAATATGCCGATTTGTATACAAGGGTAAGAAATGAACTTGGAATTACATATAAATTATTTATCAAGATGCAATCTTTATTGCCCCAGTGTGACAATCAAGAAGTTCCTGCGAACAACTTGTTTTGCAACTTATTGAGTAAGAATATATCAATATATCATGCATTGGCATGAAAACTAATTAATGTCACATACTTGCTTACATGGGTAAGAAACAAACTTGAAATTGCATATAAATAATTTATCTAGATGCATCTTTATTGCCACAGTATGAAAGTCAGCAAGTTCCTGTGCGTTTTTCATAGTTGTGCGTTATTGCTGCGTTTGCCAGCAACCACAGCCACTAAATCAAATTATTTTGCTGCCACTTGGTTACAGTGTCGCCCAATTCTCCACCCACCGCAGAAGCCTTCATCCTATACACCGTCGACTGCCTGTGTATCTCCACAATTGGCATTCAGTTGCTTAAATAGCCGCATTAATGTCCGGCCAGACAAATGGGTCACATTAATTATGGCGGCCAGTGACAATTGCTATAAATTTATTATGTAAATGCCTGCTTGGTAAGTTACGATGGCTTGAAAAGACTAGACATCGGTTTAAGGTTCGGTTAGCTGCAAAAATCTTTCTCATGCAAATATGTAAATATAGTTTTTGTGTGTGTTTAAATTCAACACGCTTGAAATCAATATGAATTTCGTTACGAAGGTAATGCCGTATGGCACAGCTTTGTTTGTTTTATGCACAACAAATGTTTGCACACTCAGATTGTGTGGCAACCGTTCGGGCGTTGAGTTGAGTCCAGCGGTTCATGCAAATACGCGTAATCAAACTGGAATGCAAAAACATTTAGAGGCGACTGCACAGCGCTGTGTAGCCCGACACGCTGACGTCACGCTTAATGCGTTGATGAGTTTTCCCATTTCGCTTAATTAACGTCGGACACTTCAGAGTAAACAAAATGGCGGCGATGCAACGTTTGCTTTTGAGTGGACGCCTGAAAGCATGCAGCGCTTTTAATTCTCAGTACATTATTACGAAATAAAAGGATTGTGAATGTATATTTGTATATATATACATTCCTTTTCCGTTTAAGCTGAAAATTAAATTAAATCTCTTCGGCTTTTTATATAAAATATTTTCCATTTTGTAACTAAAAGTTTTAGCTATAACATTTTAATTGGCACAGTTACGCTGCAGCTTAAGCTGAAGCACTTTTGCTTAAGGCCACATTTATGCCACATACTTTGATAGTTGTGAATGTGGACACACTCGCATCCGTATGGAATATACGAACTGCCACGCTTCAATTTTGTCACCACCTTTTTTGTCCGTTGAAATCTGATTTTCCTGGTGAAAATTTGATGACATTTCCGCTTATGCGACCAATAGCCACCACCCCTATCCAAACACGACCACGGCTATGCGCACAGTTTGCTACTTAAATTGGTTCGGCGAATGTTCTGTCATCATCATTATTAGCTTGTCCACAAAAGTGGCAATGTCATTTTGAAAAGTGGTAGCTCAGAAATGTAAGTGGCAAACACGCAACAAGCGCACAGACACAGAAATGGAAACTCGGATGGAAGCAAAAGCAACAGTCGAAATAGAAGTAACTGTCTTTTGCGTTGGTATTAGTGGTCGCACGTTGTGGCCACCAAGTATTTGCTTAAGGCAGAATCACCAACAGCACTTACCACATGTGCAATTGTTCATTTCATTTCCTGTTCATGTTGCAGTTGAAGTTGCAGCTGTGGTTGCATTTTAATTTGCCATAGGAGCAACGGAAAATTAGCTTAGCCGCAACGTAATTGAGTTTTACGTTGCTCTATGGGTTAACCAAAGTAAAAATGACACCCATATCCCTATCTGCATTCGTGTGGTGAGTCATGCACACGCAGATATTACGCCGCAATCGCCACAAGCATATTTCACAAACAAATATTAGGCATACGCGTAGTACGCGCATATGCATATGCGGGGATACAAACAATTGTGCAAAAACAAAATGTGAACAACGAAAATTGAATTTTAGGTTTAATTATAACAAGAACGAAAGCCAATATATACTATTGAAATGTAAATATGAAGGCGATTTGCGTACGGTTTGTCGGTTGTTGAAACTGCAGCCAGCATTTAAATAAATAAACAAATTTTTGTCACACTTATAAACAGATATACGTATTTTAGATTCGTGAATGTGTGTGTGAGTATATTCACATTTGTATGTAGTTGTTTGCCATAAGCCAAATGAAGTCACTGTCAAACTGTCATAGAAAGTGTTTCTATGCCCTGTAGCCATTAATTTGAATACCAGAGGTATATGACAGTCGAAATAACTTCAGATAAAGTATATTTAAATAAAGTATATTTAAGTTGAAAGAACACTGTTCTGTATAACCGATTATTTGTGAAAAGATTTTCGTTAAACACTCAAAAATCAAGTTGTTTAGAAATCCAACCCAAATATATTTACTTAAAGCAAGCATATACTAGCTTTAGAACACTTTCTTGGTGATCATTGGGTAACTGCTCGTCGAGCCTATCTCATTATATGGAGAATATAGGTTTTCATTTTGTAACTATTTGATTATGTTACGTATTTTTGGCATGCCAGTCACAGCGGACGTTCTTAATCTGAACGTGACACCGTCGTGTGAACACCCACACCCAATAGATGGGTCTAGATACACACAAGCTCATACACACACATATATAAAGGAACTACACAAACATTGGATTAGCGAAGGGGCACCATATGTAGATGACTATTAAACACGCAAGTCGCTTAAACCAACGCGTTGCCTTCTAGACAAACACAAACAGCAAAGCGTCTAAAATAAAGCTGTTTAATGTAGAAAGCGGGCTCAGCGTCAGCTCATAGACACGGCGTATTATGTTGCTGGCCTAACATGAGTTGACAGCTGGTGTGAATGCAAGCAAGCACATCCCTGACCCCCTCACCATCCCCGCTGGAATAGTGTCAACTGTATAAATAACGTCAGAGGGCAGCTGACTTGTTAAGTGTTTGCTTGTTTAAACACACACACACACACACACACGCACACACACAACAACAATAACAACAGTACAGGTAATCAACTTGGTCTACATTGTTGTGGTCCCTGTAGTTGCAGGGTTAGAACTATTTAAAATATATAAAGCGGATACTTAAGCACCATGTGACATTATCCTTACTCATTTAACAAAACACGGCAATCAGTGAACTGACTCTGTAGTTAATCTGCTTAGATATCAGTTTCTATTTACAGTTTGTTGAGTTTGCTAACTGGTTTGCTTTGTCTTTGTGCTTCTGAGCAGATGAAGATATGGCACTGAATGGCCCACAAGTTGTGATTAGATAACAAGTGTCAGGCCATCTAAATGCTGGTGGTTGTTTTTGTTGTGCCAGCATATTTTGTGAGTAGCTTAGTTGTTGGCCATTTTGGCCTTTTGGCTTTAAGTTGCCCGTTTCTTGGCGTATTTAAAGCATCATACGAAATTACAAATGCAAATCAAATGTCCGATCTGCTTGGTTCCGGCGCTGGACTGGATTGCCTTTGGCTTTCACGTTCTCATGTACACCCAGTACGCAACCAATTGCATGGAGGGACCCTGCCAGGATGTGGATGTAATGCGCAAAATGTAAGGCTTGCATAAATTATTTGCGCTGTTGTTGTTCTCTTTGTTGAGCTCTTGCTGTTGTTACTGCTGCACTTAATAAATTCATTTCATGCACAAACTTAAAGCGCTGCTTCGTTTTAGTGGAGCAAGATAACATATTGTTGGCTGAGTCACAAAGACATTTGATTAAATTGCAAATTGCAAAGCAGCTGCTGAAATGTTACTAAGTGCTTCTCAAATATCCTGTCTATGACATCAAAGGGACTACTCTCGTTTGCCGTTTGGCATTTGACCCAACTACAAATTTTGAGCTTGTTTCGTGTTTTGTATATTCTTCCGTGACAAGTTTTGTGCAGTAACAGATTTTTGACAAAATGAATAGTTCGCTGTTAAGCTTTCTCATTTTTAATTACGAGCTGATAAGTAGTATGACCATTGTGTAAAGTGAGTAAGTTGCTTAAATGTGGAATTGTAAATGTTTTTCTTAGTACTTTTTCTATTCTTGGAAAGTGTTTGCAATGGGGCAACTAGGCAACGTTTTTGCTCTACTCTATGCCAAACTTCTTTACTTCAGCATCATCTGTTGCTGGAGCTGTTGCATATTACATGAGTTTCAATTTTGCTCCAAAATATGCATTTGTTGAATTCCTTATGCTTTTGCGACAGAGACCCTCACATTAAAATGACAGTTGTCTAAGTGCTTTTGAAATAAATTGAACAAGAAGGTATGCAGAAATAAAGGATACAATTGCTTATAAG